CCAACCTTACATAACAAGTTAGAGGGACAGAGAGATGAATGCAGCTTTCCCCAGAGCCTCCCTCTAGCAGGGCCCTCAGTGGAGCCCTAAAAAAGTCATCACAGGGTTCTAAAAGCCCTGTTTTTCCTTGTGAAATGGAGAAGAGACTTTCTCCAGGCATAATTGTGTATAAGCAGTTTGTGAAGAGCACCTTCCAAAACTTTGTACAACAGCAAGGACTTGTAAGTCTCTGAATTTTTATGTGTAAACTGGGCTTCCCACCTGTCATCTTCTGTAAATTTTCTTCTCTTTCATCACAAAACATCTGCTTGAGGGCTAGAAGCAAAGTGGAAAGGCAAAATCATCTTCTTTACCATAAACATCTAAATTCCTGTATATGCCCGGAAAAAGAGAACTGCCTTTGTATCTCAGGCTGAGGTCTCATTCTCTCCAGTGCAATCAAATGAACAGCTGTTGCTGTGGAGCTTGTCTAAAAACATCTCTCTGCATTCTGCTCATTCAGGTCTTTTATGTCTGCTGTTCCCAACATTTGTAGTTTTATCTCTACTCAGAGACACAATCAAATGCCACAGGCAACACCAGCCAGGGGCTGAATCATGTCTTTGCCTATGCCATATTTTCAAATTCCAGCAGAATTCTTTGATACCAAAGTGGTCCAGTGGCTGAAACACAGATTTTATGAAAGTTGAACATGAAAAAGAGACAGGCTCATGCTGGTCTTCATTTACACCCTCATCCCCCCATTCACACTATATTCTCTTGAACCTTTCATGGACTTCCAGAGATAAATATTGCTCCCAGTGTATCTCCTTCTACCAACTCAGCATTGTTTAATTTGGTGGCAGTAGAAGTACCATTTCTCAGGCCACTGCTTTTCGCCTGCCACATCACTGTTCAGCAGCTTGGCAGGAAATTGTAAAGGCTGGAAGTTAACATGGTATTGCAGGGAAAAGAAGGAGGTGCTCACAATGCAGGGAATGCCATTTGAAAGGCTGGATGAAGAAAGGTCAGATTAAACTACAGAGGGGCTTAAACTGTTTGGAGCTGTTTGGAAGTACCTGCATTTCAGGTGAAACCTGCTCCCCATTGTTTCCTCAGTAAGTTCCAGATGGAGAAGGTCTGTTTGAGACTCATGTCCATTCCCTGGGCCATTCTTGCAGCTGAAATTACAGAAACTCCTGGAAGAGCTCTTTGCCACCACAGGCTGAACTTTCTATTATACCATGGGCATAATGGAATTTTCAAATACCTGGCAGAGCAAAGAACAATTTGTCCTTTATTTTGTTCATAATTTCTGCCTGTGGTGCTGTTTGGCTGGACTGCATAGACCCTTTTAATGCATTCCTCATGGCTGGAAACCATCCTGCCATGTCCCAGTCCCTGTGATGAGTGTCTGCCAGCCCCATGCTTTCCCCAGCTGACTGGCACCTCCCTGCTGGCATTGTCAAGGTCCAGAGCCAGATCCTGACTTCACCCTCTACCCATCCATGCCTTTAGCAAAGACACTGGAGTCTTTTTCTCACCATCAGTGGAAATAATTGGTGGAATTACTGCCCAAAAATTGGAGATCAGCAAAAGTACAAGTTTAGGTAAGTTAAAAAGAGGAGACAGAGTGTTTGACTAGAAGAAAGATAGAAGATACAGGAGCAGAAGCATCATCTGTATGAGCTACTCCTCATTCTGTGCCTTTTTTTTTTTTTTTTTTGCATGTCACTTGAAGAAGTAAAACTCAGAATCTGGCTAGTGGCTGTGTGGAGCCTGTGCATCCCTGGCCTTTCTGGCTCTTTTTTCCCATAAAGTGAAAAGAAATCCTTTCACCATCTGACCAAAGGGGTCAGGATGATCTCTTCTCCTCCTGCATGGAGCCAATCCTGCTCTCCAGCCTCGGGGAGATGAGGCAGGGTTAATAATTGTGATCAGCGTGTTTCTTGTTTGCAGATACTGAGTACCAGAAGGGATTTTGAGAGTATGATATATGAGTCACTGTGGGATGCAGCAGAATGTTTTAGCCTTGCTGCTTGGAGGTACATTATTCATCTTGTCTCGGCCTGTAAAACCTGCAGCCCAGAGACACCCTGAATCTGGTCTGCAGAAGCTCAACTTGAACCTCCAGGGAAGTTCCTTGAAAGTGTTTCTTAAAAGGACATTCATTATTTTAGTTTAAAAAAAAGAAGATAATCCTTCCAGATCTCCTTACCCCTTCTTCCCCCACCCCTCCTTACTTTTCTGGCTTACTTTCAAAGCCTCTAAAGAGAAGATTGATTGGTGGCTGGTATTTGCAAAAATCCCCATTTTCAGCCTCGTAGCACCCAACCTTCATCACAGCCTGTGCCCCCTGCTCCTACCCAAAAGCTGCATTAAATTGTTATATCCATCACCTGACTGCGAGCCACAGCCTTGCCAGGGAAGGGAAGAAGTGAGTGGACAAAGTACTATAAAACTCCACAGATAACACAGTTTTATTCAGAAAGAACACTAGCTTTTGCAGCAACTTTCAAGTGCATCAGAAAAGGTTGAGACACCTGTTGTAGCTTGATGAGCCTGTAGTGAATTAAACTCTTGTTGGTAGAGCATTTGTGTCTTCATTTTTGCACCAGTCTTGGCTACACTGTTCTCTGTAGTAGACAGATGTAGCTGAAAAAGCTATGGAAAAGCTGGGTGTGATTTGGCTGTCTGATCTACACAGGACATTTCTTGACCTCGTGGATTTTGCCAATGCACAGACATCTCTCGTGGAAAACTCAGCAGGATGTAATTTCTTGGTGTCAGGTATGAAATGGGAGAGTTAGATTCATCCCAAAACCAAGGGACTTTCTAAAAGTGATCAAAACCACCAAAGAGCTGATCGTGTTTAAAAAACAATCAAGAGAAACTATTCATTTTTTGCTAAACACTAAACTATTACTTTTGGCCTTAGTTGCATTTTGTTTGGTAAGTATTTTCAGATCCTTTTAGCTTAAACCTGCAGAAATGTTGTCATTTTCATATAATGATGTTGAGTAGTAATGGGAGGGTTTTGCTAATTAGGAAATAGCATCAATTTTCCTATTACTAAGCAAATTCCTCCAGGTTACTATGTCACAGACAAAAGCTGGTTTCTCCATGTCAATGTAAATCTCTTTTACCAGAATAAAAGAGAACTATAAGACTGTCCTTCCCATATGCCACTACCAATGCAGTCTACAGTTAAAATTCCATATAGGAAGGATTTAATTCTCCTAAATCACAAAATATGCATTCAGTTAAGAGGAAAAAATGCACTCAGATTATGAATAGAATTTCTGTGAAGGCACGGGTGTGTTCCCCAAGCAAATTCACTTTTTATCATAATGTCTGGAGCTGCATAATTCAAAAACTTCATGGCAGCACATGACTAACACAAGATACCTGGTTTTGGCTGGGTGAGCATTTTAACAAGAAACTGGGTTTTTACCATAGATCCAATCCTTTCACAAAGGTCAGGGCTGTCCTCAAAGAGTTCATCAAGTTAAAAAAACCTGTTCTTTTTCAGCAGGGTTGTTGCTACACTGAAGATCCTATCAGGAAAAAGGCTACTAGTATTTGAAAAATCAGCCTTCTGAATCCTTTTGGGTCTTCCAACTCATTATTTTTGGTAAATCCAACCTCTTCTATTGAAGCAATCAAGATATACTGTCAAGTTTTCAGATTATTTGACATTTTGACTAATGGTTTCTTTTCCCTTTGACTTCCCATCTATTTTTAGGTGAAGAAATGCTGGTTTAAAACTTTACAAAGTTTCATTTAAAAGAGGTCAACCCAAATGTTGCAGATTTTTCCGTTACATAAAGTGACATTTCAGAAATGCCAATTTGAAAATGTTCTATAATTTTTAAACTTTCCCTTCATTTTGGGGGGTCGAACCTCGGTTTATCCAAAAGTTCTGTAATGTTAATTGCTAGGTATTTACCTCAGTCCAACTTCAGTAAACAAGAACCTTCCAGACCCAGACTGGTTCTGTGGTGGGCAGCAGATACATGAAGAAAGTCTCTGAGGGGACCTGAAGGACCAGCTCTTTCTAAAGCTTTCTCTGCTTTCCTTGCCAACACTTTTAAGAGCCCTTAACATGATCCCAAAAGGCCTTGGTGTTTTTAAAAAAAAAAATAAAAATCTTCCTTTGAGCCTTTGGTGATTCCAGACAGGAAGATCATGAAATCTTTGGTTACCCTGCAGAGAGGCTTTGCAGAGTGAGTAGGATGCTTTCCCCACCTAAACCAAAGGACAAGACAGCAGGTGTGTAAACCTGTGTTCTTTCTATCTTGCTGCTTTGAAACAGCTCCCTCCAGCCTGCAGCCTCGCCTGTATTATTTGATACTGTTTCTGCCTGAAATATTCATAAAGCATTATGCTTAAAAAATTAGGTTGATGAATGAGAAGAGACAGTTCTCCTAATAAAGTCATTGACAGAAGGGCCAAAGAGTTTTTGGGGTTTTTATAATGTGTGGAAGCTTGTCATTTGGTTGCTGCATATTGGTCTGAGTAGCAAAAACATAAAATGAAAAAAACCCCAAACAAACAAACGAAACAAAACAAAACCAAAAAAAAAAAAGGCAAAGACAAAAATAGAGTAGTAGATGGCTCTGAAAAAGAAAGTGTCCCAGCACATCGATCATTTTTGGAGACATATAATTAAAGCATTGAGGTTTCCTCACTCGTAATGAGGGAACAAAGACTGTCTCAGAACTTAAGGAGCTCATTTGCTTATACAAGACCTGTAGTGTAGCTGACAGATCTCTTACTGCCTGCCAGGTGTCCCTGCTTGATACCACACCACAAATGACACCCTCCTTTGAGATGCTGCTGGTTCCATCACCTCTCAATTGTGCAAGCGACCTCATTTGACTAAAAAATGCCTGATTGCCCACCAGTTTAACCTGTCACATCCCAGGATCCTGTTTCAGCCAAGAAATTAGAGTCATACCTTTATTTCACAAGGTAAAACAAATAAACTTGTGGCGTTGTTGTTGTTGTATCTCTTGCAGACAAACAAAGCAGTAGCCAAGGGGGATTTCCACCACGCAAGCTCCAGCTCCCGGCGAGCTCTCTTCCTGGCTGTCCTGTCCATCACAATCGGAACTGGCATCTACGTCGGGGTAGCTGTGGCTCTTATTGCCTACCTGTCAAAAAACAACCATCTATGAGCCTCAGGAAAGGGGGAAGAACCAGCCAAGCCGGCTCCTGCACTGCAGGAGTCCCCAGCACATCAGACTGCGAGGTTTTCCAAAAACAGACAAACACTTTCCGGGGGCAGGTACAGGATGAGGTGGGCTTGTGCATTGTGGTAGGGTGGGAGGCTGGAGGGGCTGGGGGAAGTTCCACCATTTGTGATGCACAAGTCTTGCTTATCTTCATCAACCCCTGTACAAAAAAGGGAAAGAAAGAGCAAAAGAGAGACAAAGAATGAAAAGAAGAAAAAATAAAAGGAAGGAAGACGGGGGAAGTGTGGAGAAGGGTGTTTTGCCTTTGCCTTCTTTTCAATATGGTGTTTACAAGCATCTGGCAAACTGAGCTGTTCTCTTATTACCTTCTTGGTCACCTGAACTTTGCAGCCAGCATGAGCTTGTGCTTAATTTGCTTGTTAAGCACGGCACTGAGATCTGGGAAAGCACGGACAGCGACTGGTTCTCTGAAAGAGCAATATAAAAACAAGAGGAAGAACATGGCTTGTTTTGTCTTTTGAATGCAGGACTCATTTGCCTAAGAGTGAATCAGACACCTCAGTGTAGAGTGGTATTGCCTGCTCTTCTTGTTGGGGGTAGGTTTCCATGGAAGGAGAAAAGGAAATTAAAAACATTTTTACTTCCTTTCCTTGTTTTTGGATTAAGGTGTGCCCCACAGGCCCCCTCAGTGAAGACCAGCTGAGGTTACAACTGCATGGCTCGGCTCTGCAGACAGAGTACAATTTTGAAGTAACGTGAGACCCGTTGTAAAATTAATTCCTCCATCCAGTCACATCGTGATAACAGCACTTTACTGTGGCATTATTGCTCATCTGGGCTGCTCCACCTTGCTGTGGAGACCTGCACAGCAGTCAGTGCAAGAAACCTGGGGAAAAATGCAAACTGAAATACTAATAAGTTTTTAATTAAAAAAAAAAAAATCATCACGGTAAAGCATGGGAATTAACCAGAGAAAGGAATGCTTCATACATTTCTGGGGTCCTGCTCATACACAGACCAGTGAATACCACTCAGATCAGAAGCTCACAGCTCAGCTGTGCATCAGGGACACGGCATAGCCATGGAGAGACAAGTCTGTTCCCCAATAAGCAGAGCAGTGGTAAATTGTAGGGGAATTGAACCTTGTCTTTCCTTCACTGACTGAAATGATACATTTATTTTCTTCTTTTCTTGCTCCCCACACTCAACTGGTTTTTCATCCTAAAGATTTCCCTGCACTCAACTATTTTTTTGCCTAACCATTTCGTCCCACTCCAGGGTGTAACAGCATAGACATATATATGTAGCTACATATATATATACACACAGAGAGGGGAAAATCAGTCAAATCAGTGACCATTTTATTATTTAACTGCCTCGTGTTTTACAAACATGGTTTCTTTGAACAAGGATGTCATCAAAGATGTTTTCCTCCAACTCTGTATTGTGTGTCATCTTTGCTCTGGGACAGATTTTTTCTCTTGTTTTAGATTTCCATTATTTTGGTTTGAATTTGACTTCTTTTGTTTTGGGAGGGGAGAACAAACACATGCAATCCTATTTTTCTGGTAGCTATACGGTTTATTAAAACACATGGTATACAGCTACTGGTGCTTTGTGTGACACTTTTTTGGAGTGGATGTGAAGCTTTAGACTGGGTGAAACTTGGCCCGGGACACCCAGTGCAGCTGCCTCGAGTGGTGCTTGTATGCACCATCTCATGCTGTCCCTGGACCCAAAAGCCTGTTGTAGTCACTGACAGGTTTTTTGGCAGTGAATTCACAGAACCATAGAATGATTTCTGTGGGATGGGAGCTTAAAAATCATTTAGATCTAACCCCCCTGCCACAGACAGGGATTCCATCCACATTAGATGGCAAATTGTTGGGCTACAAGCTAAGCCTGGAGACTGGCAATGTACTCCTAGTCCCTTCTGCATATGTATTATGCATGATTTGTGGGAAATCAGTCAGTTTTTCTCATAAAGTCTGAGCTTTGGAATACATGGTGTTGAATAAAAAAACCACTGATTATTCACTTAAAGGGAAAGGAACTAGTATTTCCCAGCCTTGATTTGAAGTATACCTGGAGTTCCAAAAAATCAGAGAGCAAATACAGGTACTGTAAGGTCATTAAGCAAGCCTAACAACAATAATAGCAATGTAATTTTAAAACCAATCTTGTGGTTGAGGACTCTGCCTTATGATCTTTGGTGATTGTGCTGGCTGAATATTAACCTGAGAGGCAAAAGCCAGCTCCAGAGCTAGGAAAAACTCTCCCACAAAGGCAGCCTTAAAAATTCCATAGAGGCCCTTGCAACTGGCTTTAAAAATACCATTCCAAACACAGGGAATTCAGCTTTCCATGTCCCCAGGTCCCTCAGTGAGCAGCAAACAGGAGCATCAGCACTGTGTGAAAGACCTGCATAGCAGGAGCACTCCTGGAAACATCACCTGGCTGAAATTTGATGTTCTTGTGCTTCACATCCCAAAGCAACCCACGGTGTGACATGGAGCTGGCACTCGGAATGGCAGTCCAGGGTGGTGAGCAAGGAAGCTAAAGGGGGTTTGCATGCTGGGGAGGTGGACCTGGGCCTCACTGCAGATGGGAGTGGGGATAAAAGCTCCCAGTGATGGCTTTTGTGCCTTAGTAGGGGTCCACTTTGCTGATTGTCTGAGCTGTGGGTCACTGAGGAGCTGAACAGGCACCTGTGTCTTCCTAAGAATAGTGATGTTGTCATGGCCTGCTGCAACATCTCTGGTTGGCAGAGCAGATACAATCATCTAAACATCTAAAATCCTCTAAGTCTATGGCATGAAGACTAGAAACTGCCACCAGCACCTGCTCTCTCTGAGACAGCACCAGTTCACCTCACGTGGTTATTCTCTCCTCATCCTTGGGGAAGAGCAGGAATGGTCCATATGCAGTGAGCTCCTGTGTTTGGATACAGGGACATCTTTAGTTTACAGTAGATCTTTTCCTCCCCAGAGAGAGAGGAGAGAAGCCTTTCTGAAGTGAGAGCTTTTGCCATATTGGCTCAATGAGGAGGTGTTAAAGAAATGGCTCTGGTGTCTTTAACCAGATGACAAGCTGTTGTGATACCTAAGATCAGCTGCAAGGAAAAATCCCAAACTGTTAAGTCCAGGGTCAAAAAGCTCCAACTTAACTGTATAATGTAGGATGTCATTATGGATTAACCTCAAAAAATACATGAGGAGGGCTGAAGATTCACTGAGGGGGAAGAAAAAAATCCTTCTTTCTGAAAGACTCACAGTTTAAGGGAATAGTGACACTCAGCAAATAATTTGCTGGGTCAGAGACTAATATTGCATCTGTCATCTGACAGGATTTCATAACTGCCTGGTACCTCCATCGATTTTTTTTAGCCTTCATTTGGGAATCTCCTAGCCTTGAGCATTTTTATAGCTCAGTCTGAAACTAATTTCTCCCATCATCCAGGCAATTCCCACCGCAGAGCCAGCTTGCAAGAGCTCCCTGCTGAGGAAACAAGAGGGCATAGCTTGGGAACATCACTGTACACCAAGGGTAGAACAGCAGAGGAAGTGACAGCCACCTTCTCTGGGCTGGCTGCCACGCATCTCTCACAATTTGGGAAATGCCACCTGCTGACTTGCAAAGGAAATTCAAAGGCAGCCAAAAATGTAATGCAATTAAGTGCCTGTGAACTTTACTGTAAGGAGGATATGAGAAAGGGCACAAAGAGAGTGCCCTGTGTTTTAGATATCAGAGAGCATGCTCTCAGGCTGCTGGAACCTCAGTCAGAGGGCACAATAAGCCACGTCTGTGGAGAAAGTGGCTCCAATCTCAGAGATATTTACACTTGTCTGAGTAAGGCAAGACCACAGGAATCTGCAGAAGGGCTGCACCTGAGAGATTTGTTCAGGGCAAGATGCAATCTAAATACCTGTCCTTGGCTTAGAGAGCTTCAAATCCAAGATAGGAGGCAGAGATGGAGATGGGTGACAAGAATGGTGTGAGTTTTCTCGATGAAACCAACCCAGGCCACTTCAGCACCCTGCACCAGCATCTCTCAGTATCAGCCAGCACAAAGGATGCTCTCTGCTGGCTTCATGCCTTTGCTCACAGATGCTGCTGTAGTGACACCCTCAACAAAACATGGTCAGGCAGTCAGGTCACCAGAGCACACGGTGCTGCTCCCCTTGTGCGCAAAAGAGCATTGGGCTTCGCTCCAGACATGGTGGCATGACTCAGTGCTGCAGACATCAGGATCACAGCGGTGCCAAAGGAAGGAGAGCAGGAGCTGCCAGCACTGTTACAAACTGAAGGTTGTGTGGTGAGCACAACATATGTCTGCTGTTTACTAATCATGAGGCAGCTCTGGGGAACCTGCTCCAAGCAACTGTCAGAAGGTGGGTGGTGCTCCTTGGTGCCACCACATTTCCCTCTTTGGACATGCCCAAGTGTACTTACAACCAGGTGATTTACACTTCAGGATATGCAGGAGGAAGCAAAGGGGAGGAAAAGACTCCATGAGTGAGATGTTGTGAGGTGGGAGGTAGGAGAGAATCTGTAATTTGCTACATCCAATTTATGAATGCACAGAGACAGGGTGCCATGTGGCTGGGAAGAAAGCCACCTTCTCTTGGCTGATAACTTGGTGTTGCTTTGGTCAAAACCCTCCCTCTGAAGAATTTCCTTGCAGGCAACGGACTGAGCTTGAGCAGAGGAAAAGCATCTGAAGTGATGCACCAGATGGAATAGAGCAGCCCTCCCTCCCCAAAACAAGGCCAGGTGTTTGCATACACATTCAATTTGTCCTTCCAGAACACTCAGTGGTGTTTCAGACTCCTCTTTCAGACTCCTGCTTTCATAGGGCTCTACAGGTGCAGATGCACATCCATACATTTATATACATATAGACAGGTACCCCTACACATACATATCCATACTCACATACAGGCATATGTGAAATGCTGAAAGGGAAATCAATTTTGTTCTCAATCAAGGAGCAGGCTGCAACTTCAGCAATAAAAATAACAGCAATGCTGCTCAATAATCACCTGCAGAGGGGACAGCAGGCTGTGAGAGCTGGACTTTCCGTGCTGTATTTTTGAGTCAGCTGTTTGCTGCTTCTTTTCTCCCTTCTACCTTTGCCCAGTGCATCTTTTGCTGCCACTTAGCAGGGTCAAACTGGTGGCTGTGCATGGAAGTGGTAGTAGCACATCCTCAGCAGCATCCCCTCATTGTTTTACAATGTAAGGACACAGCCCTAGGAGGGCAGGCCTTCATCCAGCTTGGCCATGGATTTAATATCTTTTTTTGCTAAGCCTTCAGAGCTAATCTAAGTTATCTACCACCTCTCTGGAGTTATCCCGACATCTAGAATCTCCAGGATTAAAGATGGTGTTCTGTGTATGGGACCTTAGAGCACCTGGGGCTACATTTCATTGTTCCATCCAAGAACTGGTTTATCCATCATGCTTTTAGAAGACCTGCCATAGTCCTGGTGTATTCATTATTTTCTACTCATTTGAGACATACTGAAGAGGCAAGAGTGATCACAACAAATAAATAAATGCTCCAAGGAGCCAATATAGGCTAGCAAGTATAGATTTTCTTTCAAAAATAGTTTAATGAACCAACAGCTTGTATTATTACTAAATTGTTGGTAACCAGTGGCAACCCACAAAACTGAACCATGAGCAAGTAAACCAAAATATCTCATTGAAGGCTGAACATGCAAGAGGAAGACTTTTAAGATAACACCTAACAGTGGTACTTCTGAGAATAACCTGAAATGTGAACTCCCACCAGTTACTTTCAAGCAGCCAGTGGCTTGTTGAAGCATTAAATTTAAAAAAAAAATAAAATAAAAGGCCAAGCAACCACCTGTTGAGTCAAGCACACAGAAACTTGGGTTAAAATAAACCTTCTGGGTGGCAGTCAGAGCTCTGAGGGGCTAGGTGCAGATGGACCTTATTTCCATTTATTGTCAATTCAGCACTATGAGTTTGGTCCTGTTCAACAAGACCTTTCATGATGATAGATTCATGAATAGTGTGATTTACTGATACCATAGGTCTGGCTGAATTCAGTAAGAACATCCAGAGCCCAGATTCACAAATAGTGTGGTTTATTGAAGCAAAGGGAAAGCAGCCTGAGGTTGCTGGTGATACATACACAAACTACAGAGTGTGTCTGGACAGAAGGTACAGTAACAGAAATTTATGAGATATATACATTCAAATATATCTGGGTCTGTTCCAATGCAGTTAGAGGCAAAAATCTGACCTGAAAGTATCCTTTTGTGAGAGGAAGAGAGAAAAAGTCCATCAACTGATCCTGAGCAAGCAGAGGTGTTTTTCTCCTGTTTTATTCCTCATTTTTTCTCTAATCTTTTTCTTTGCTGTGAAACTCCTTCTTTTTTATACAACAATTTTTAATCCTTCCCAAAGAGAACTACAAGTGTATGTCATAGGCTGGGTGTTGGTGACAGAAGTCATATATGTAAGGAATATCAGCTTTTCTCTTCATGTGCATTCTTTGAGGTGTGGGAGTTTATATGCAAATAACACTTAATGAGGGTCTTGGTTACTTTTGGTCAGCATTTATGGTTGATACAAAA